GAATGTGAAATATCGGTACTCTCCTTGTGGCAGTTCACTATATGTACCATGAGGTTCTTTCAATGGCCACTTGTTATTTGTTTACGTTAGTTGTTCTCAGTTTGCGTTTTTAGATATTTCTTCTACGCTATCCTTTTTGACTTCATTTTCGGGAGATTACGTGATGGTTATCTTTTGGTCTCTCGTGGTTATACTGGTTGATTTTTAGTTTCATTAATGCGACCATGAAGGAAACAAACTGTTTTTCTTCCAAAATTGTTTTTCTCCTTATTTTTTGTGTATGTTTATTTAAGCTTTCCTGGAGCGTGTAGCTATTTTTTTTCGGTCATCAGCCTGTTTTTTTTTGTCGCAACCCTTTTGCGCCATTCTATCTTTGTCGAAGTGGTGTTACTAACTACTTGGTTTATATCACCTTTTGTACTATCGGTCCGTCGTGTGGATTCTCTCTTCGATAGTTCCACAGAAAAAGTGACACAACCTATATTTTATCCTTCGATCGTGAGAAAATCACAAGGAACTACATTAACTACTGACCTCACCGAATATACAGTCCCCGTAGTTCGACGCTTCACGTGGAACTTGGTATTCGAATAATTCCAGGTCAAAACGACGGGGGATAGTGCAATTAGAGTGACAGAGATATTTTATCAAATCCGAGCACTCACATGTTGCTCCGTTACTCAGCACGATCGCACGATTCATTGTCTCCATTCGAACCAGTTGTTGCAGGGATTGGACGATCACATGGGGCAGTGGTTGTAGCCATATGGTGTCCATTTTCCAACTGGCTGTTGGTATACTCGGATAGCCCTTGTCCTGGCACAACGGTTCCGGTAAGGCTACATGGACAATCCCGTGTCGATGTGTGATAGAGTGTATTATTCGAGCCACTGCACAACTAGTCAAACTGATAATCAGCCGAGCCCCGGTCCCGATCAGATCGCACACTGTGAAAGGCGAGGAAAAGCGAGAAACGGAAAGAGAGGCTGCAGTCATTTCAGCAAGTAGAATTGTGTGTGAGAAAAAAGACACATCGATAGATAATTTCCGGAAGACGCCACTATATTCTCCCTGTGACGTGGAATAGTGCGTGTTACCACTGATTAGAGTTTTTACGAAGCTCAGATCATTAAAAGTATTTTATTTTCTTTGATTGATCAGGTCTTCAGTCCTCAGGAATGACGGCAGAGGGCAGGGTGCCCGTGTAAGCCCCATCACCACTGGATCGTGGGTTCTATCACAAATTTTCGTTCCTCCATAGCCCCTTAAGGTGCTCATCCAGATGCCGTTTTAAAGCAGCGTCTGTCTTCTCTTCCACGACAATCGCTGGAAGGGAATTCCAGAGTGTTGTTGACCTACACGAGAGTCAGTAGACTAACGTAAGACCAACTGACTGAAGTTTCCTCAAA